GCGCAATCGCGTCCGTCGCTTTAACGAATCGATTCGTTATAACCTTAACGAATCGACCCCGCGCCAATAACGAAGCTTCGGAAGTGCTTTTGCGCATGCGGGGGTCCGCCATCTTAACAAAATGTTTTGTAAATATTTACGAAATTTCGTAAATACCGAAACTTTTTTTGGGAAAGTTTTGTAATTATTTTAAATATCGAAACAAAAAAACACCCCAATTACAAATCGATTTTAGAAACAAATTTTTTCTTGATCAACCAGGCCTAATATTTACATTACGATTCACAACAGTAACAAAATTACAGTTACAAAGTAACAACAAAAATAATGTTATGGTTGGGGGTCACCACAACATAAAGAACTGTATTAAGGGATTGTGGCATTAGGGAGGTTGAGAGCCACTGGCCTAGATCTTCTGCTGAGGACCAGCTTCGTTCTCCATCCCAACCTCCAATATGGAAACAGGGAACTAAGGCCTAGCTCCCAAATAACCTGCATTGTATTTTACTAGTAATCAGGCTTGCACAACCTGTGCCCCTCCAGGTGTTTTGGACTTCAGCTCCCAGAATTCCTGACCATTGGGTGAGCTGGCTAGGTCTCCTGGGAGTTGAGTTCCAAATGCCTGGAGGGCCATAGCACGTGCAGGCCTATTCTTAATTGTCCCTCTACCAATTTTTTGGAGAGTCTCTTTTTGGGAATATGAATCCCATAATCTCCCTACCAGCATGGCCATTGATATAAGTCTCACATTCTCTCCATCTACTAACCATTAGAACAGTGGTTCTCAACCTGTGGGTCTCCAGGTGTTTTTGCCTAAAACTCCCAGAAATCCCAACCAGTTTACCAGCTGTTAGGATTTCTGGGAGTTGAAGGCCAAAACATCTGAGGACCCACAGGTTGAAGACCATTAGAAGATGTTGGAATTTGCAATCTTTAAATCTACCTTTTCTAAGCTCTGCATAGGCACCAAACACAGAGATTTACCAAAAAAAAAATCTATTCACACATGTATGCATGCATAACTGTTCTGATATTTTGGTGGATTTTCTGAAAATTATATTCTAACTGCTTCAGGTAGGGATGAGAATAATTGCAAGATTCCATCTTTGCATTACCTTTGCATGATTCATTTGCAGTATGGGATATATCATTTTTAAACAAGGCATTTCGTGTACTTGAATTTTATTTTATTTTCAGAGAAAATTTAGAACGGAGACAGAAAAACACAATAATGCCTGTAACAAGTTAACATTTGAGAGATAAGATAACCCTTTGATTAAAATTACCCGTTTTGTCTTTCTTGAAATTTGATTGGGGGTTTGAAGGGCTTCCCACATAAGAAATAAATGGAAAAAATGGTGTCGCAATATGTTTTAAAGTCAGGGTTCCTTGCTCAAGGCGCTTGCTGGGTTTTACATAATTATAGTATCTGAAATGTGATCAGTCCACTACTGTTTAGCTGGTTGCTTTGGAGACTTCCAATTATATGCTATACATGATTTGGCCAGTGTGTACGCTTGCTTAAGAAAATCTTTATGTAGGAATCCAGGGCCATTAGGTTCAAAATGATGAAGAAGTATAGCTCTGGGAGTTGGTCTAATGTGGAGAAATTCCTGACAGTAAAAGAAAAAAAGAAAGAAAGAAAAACAACCAACCTGCTGCTATCCAAATACTGCTACACTTGTGTTCCCAGCTCAGTTCTGCATTGGAAGAGCACAGAATAACACTGCACACTTCTATGTTGAGTAACCTGCAATGTGAGCTCAACTTCTCTACTCAGAGGTTACATTTATGCAGTGATTCCTGTTCTCAGGTAAGTGTATGGCATACTGCCACTTTAAAAAGAAGTTATCTAGGCAAGTACTGGAAATGAAATGATAATAATCTTATAATTTTCAGAAAATTATAGAGCTGGTTGTGAAACGTGGGTGTCTTTTTCTCTGTGATGTGAGGGCAAAAGGAAATGAAAGATGTCAGCAGTTAAAATGCGTGTAACAAGAACTCGGTGTGTGCATTGAACTATTGATGTATATGTGTGCTGCCTGAGAATATGTGGGATATGAAAACTACCACACATGGTTCATATGTGAAATGTGACATGCAGGAAGAAATCTACTTCAGTCTGGTTGGTTTGTGTATCTTATGAAAGAAACTGTCAGCTTGTGTGTGTACATTCAGGTGGGTGCATAAGGTGCACACCGTTTGTTGTTGTGTGCTTTCAAGTAGGTTCTGACTTAGAGATATTTCTTGACAAGATTATTCAGAGGATGGTTGTCCTTGTGCCTTTCTGCTTTAATTTTGGGGTGCCACCTGTATAGAGATGTGATCTTTCATGCACCATTATTGCCAATGAGTTAAGCGCATTCAGGGCTGGCTTCCACACATGTATAATAATGGAACTGAAACAGTCTTGGTCACCTTAGTGGATGATCTACGCCGGGAACTAGATAGGGGGAGTGTGTCCCTGTTAGTTCTGCTGGACCTCTCAGCGGCCTTCGATACCGTCGACCACGGTATCCTTCTGGGACGCCTCGCAGGAATGGGTCTTGGAGGCACTGTTCTGCAGTGGCTCCAGTCCTTCCTAGAGGGTCAATCTCAAAGGTGTTGCTGGGGGACACCTGTTCTGCCCCACAACCATTGTCTTGTGGGGTTCCACAGGGATCAATATTGTTTCCCATGTTCTGGGGGAGGTGTTCATTTCCATTTCCACACCAAGAAGCCTGGGTTGTTCATACATACCTTCTTGTTACATGGCTGGCATGACTACATGGAGTGTCTTTTTGCCATTCCCACCGAGGCAGTACCTATTGATCTACTCACATTTGTATGTTTTTGAACTACTAGGTTGGCAGGAGGTAGGGCTAACAGTGGGAGCTCATCCAGTCCCGCAGATTCGAATTGCCAACCTTCAGTTCAGCAGCACAAGGGTTTAACCCATTGTGCCACCCATGGCCCATATGTACATGTTCCTGTTTTTATGTGCCTTGACCTTGTGACAAACTTACCAGAGAACACACACAAGCAAACATTCAATGCCTTATTACAATGAAATATAATGGCACACAACTGCACAATGGCAAAGGCTTCTCCTTTCATTTCTGGCTTCTGGAGGCAGTGCTCATCTCCAGCTCTGGGGGAGGTGCTCATTTCCATTTCCAAGCCAAGGAGCTTGTGCTGTTCATACATGTGGGCAGCATGACTACATGGAGTGTCTTTTTGCCTTTCCTGCCAAGGCAGAACCTATTGATCTACTCACACTTCCATGTTTTTGAACTGTTAGGTTGGCAGTTCAAAAAAACAGTGGGAGTTCATCCAGTCCCGCAGATTCGAACTGCCAACCTTCAGTTCAGCAGCATAAGGGTTTAACCCATTGTGCCACCCGCGGCCCATATGTACATGTTCCTGTTTTTATGTGCCTTGCGACAAACTTACCAAAGGACAAGATTGGTTCAGAAGAGGTTTGCTATTGCCTTCCTCTGAGGCTGAGAGAGTGTGACTTTTCTTAAGGACTCCTAGGTGATTTCCACAGCCAAGCAGGGATTCGAACTCTGGTCTCCCAGCACTGAAATCACTACTACATCAAGATGGCTTGAGATGGCATAAAATCGTATTGAAAGACACATCTCCCTTTTCTCTTATACTTAAAGGAAACCTCTTCTAGATGTCCCTGACATAGGTGCATTCTTCTTATTTCAGTGCGTTTGTCCATAAAATATATTCCATATGGCAATTCATGTCCTGTAGCAGTTCTATTCAATCATTAAGAATGCAATCAGTAAACATTAATGTAAGTCCCATTCATTAAATGGGTTGATTCTAGTTGAGATTAAGAATGAGATTTAGCCCTCCATCGCTTGTTTAATTGAGGAACACTTGTGTCATGAAAAAAGTGCATAATTGGGTGACAGCACTGTTACCCAATTAATGTCAGCAGCCTGTGTACAAGGTGGAGAAAGGGCCCCTGAAGGATATTTGTAGCTGAATGTTGATAGGACAATGGAGAAGAAATGTTCTCTTGTGTATGTTATGAAACAGGCCAAGAGGGCATTGCCTTTTCCCTCTGTAATGGGTACATGCAGACAGAATGCAATTTGAAATGAAATACTATTGGAACTTCTGCTGCAACAATAGTAAATCTGGCAATGTGTACAAAGTGTGTGAAGGGATCACACTGAGGATCTCACTTGCATTTCTGGCCTCGCCATCCATTTATTTTAGTCCCAGGCCATATATACGGGCAAAGCTTAAACAAAGCACAAAATCCTATTAGGACTCAGTCTCTTTGGTTTCCCTCTGTTTATCCTGTTTTCTCTTCAGAGAGTGAGATTGAAGGAAGATTAAGTTCCAGTCCCCTTGGTGAACCAGCAGGCCTTCCCTTCCCTGAGGTGGGGAATCTATGAAGAAAACAGACAAATATTTTTCACTTGTGTTTGCATAAGAATGGCCAGCTGTCCCTATGGTTCCTAGTTTCTTGTTATCATTCCACTCAACTTACCCAAACTTAAGACCTGAAAAAAACTCTTCTTGTTTTCCTCTAGCAAGAATATTATGTTAAAAAATAAAAGCAAGTGGAAGTCTTTTAAACAGACAAACAAAATTACATCTTTGAAGTTCCTTCCAAAATGGAACCTAGCTGTGATGCTGAATCATGGCTCCTAACCATGGATTACCTTTACTTACTTACTTACTTACTTACTTAGGCGATCCCTCATTGTCCGAGTATCTAGATCTAGATCCAGGGAAGTCATGCTACCCCTCTATTCTGCTGTGGTTACACCACACCTGGAATATTGTGTCCAATTCCGGGCACCACAATTGAAGAGTGATATTGACAAGCTGGAATGTGTCCAGAGGACGGCGACTAAAATGATCAAAGGTCTGGAGAAGAAGCCCTTTGAGGAGCGGCTTAAAGAGGTGGGCATTTTTAGCCTGAAGAAGAGAAGGCTGAGAGGAGACATGATAGTCATGTATAAATATGTCAGAGGAAGTCATAGGGAGGAGGGAGCAAGCTTGTTTTCTGCTGCCCTGGAGACTAGGATACAGAACAATGTCTTCAAACTACAAGAAAGGAGATTCCATCTGAACATTAGGAAGAACTTCCTGACTGTGAGAGCTGTTCAGCAGTGGAACTCTCTGCCCCGGAGTGTGGTAGAGGCTTCTTCTTTGGAATTAAACAGAGGCTGGATGGCCATCTGTCGGGGGTGCGATTTTCCTGCTTCTTGGCAGGGGGTTGGACTGGATGGCCATGAGGTCTCTTCCAACTCTATGATTCCAAGTGCAGTGTCTTGGCAGTGGAGACATAGGTGACTGTGGAGCCCTATTCTTGACCCACATGTTCTTCCACAGTGAGGACATTGTTTTCCAGGTGAAAGGAGGTCCCAGTCAGGGTTGGTTTGTTGTGCCTTCTTCTTGGCATGTTTTTCCCCCTTTGGTCCTCCATTCATGCCTCTTCTTATGCTGTTAGGACTACACTATTTCAAAACCTTGATTTGGGGAATGCTCAGGCTTCTGAATCATATTGGCTCAGGTTTCTGGGAGTTACAGTCTAATAGCTTTTAAAGATCCATAGTTAGGAACCACCATCTATCTTGGTATGTCAGGGATGGGATAAGATGTGGAGTTAGCTCAAGTTAATATGTCAAGTTAGCATTGGAGAGATATTCGCAGGATCACCTCAGCAAGTGAGAGTCCAAAAGTGGCAGCCTAAAACTCAGCACTTCAATCCATGGCTGATACCAAATGAGAGACTAATTCCTGTGCACACAGAAGACTGGGCAACTTGGAGTGGTACCTATTGATCTACTCACATTTGCATCTTTTCGAACTGCTAGGTTGGCAGAAGCTGGGGCTGACAGTGGGAGCTCATGCTGTTCCCCGGATTCGAACCTGTGACCTTTCAGTCAACAAGTTCAGCAGCTCAGCAATTTAACCTGCTGCACCACCAGGGGCTCCAAGGTTATATTAGTATGCTGTTTTATGTAAATGTATGTTACTTTTATACAAATATATATAGTTTATGTAAATGTATGCTGTTTGTTGTGGCACTATGGTGTGTTTCTGTGATGGTGGCAGGGTATAAATAAATTATTATTATTATTATTATTATTATTATTATTATTATTATTATATTGTGTTGTAAAACTGGAACTAGCTGGATCAATGCAAGTGAACTTACAGCTTCTGTGTTTGGCCACAAACCTTAACAGTAGGGGCAAATTTCCCCAGCAACAATATATTGCTCTGAATTATCTCTGTCCTGATGCATATTATTGCAAGGCACTGCGAGAAAAGTCTTGAAGCAAGTAAGATCCATTATCCTGTGGTAGAGATGACAACTGCTAGAACTAGTTTGCTGATATAGATCAGCATAGCTGCTTACATTTTTTTGGCTTCTCCATTTATCATAATCGAGGCCCAAAGTTCAGAATGCGTTTTCAAATGGTGCCTGTATTTCTGTAAATGTGTTGTACAGAAAGGGGGGATGATTTTTTTTAACCCTAACCCAAAACTGTTACGGAGATGCCGCAAAGGCGACTGTGAATAAGGAAAGAGAGAGGGTGGAGTGAGAGCGGTGAGAGAGAAGGAAGGATAGAAAGGAGGGGACGCTTAGGGTAAGGGTTAGGGCAAGGTTTAGGGTTATGGTTTGGGGTTACGGTTAGGGTATGGTTTAGTGTTTGGGTTAGGGGTTAGGGCACAGTTTAGGGTAATAGTTAGGGTAAGGGTTAGGGTTTGGGTAAGGAGTTAGCTATATGGTACGGGGTGATAGTATGATAGCTGGGTCCGGAAGCTCCGAGCGTTATGGAAATGCCGCAAAGGTGGCAGTGAATAAGGAAAGAGAGGGGGTGGTGTGAGAGCGGTGAGAGCGAAGGAAGGATAGAAAGGAGGAGACACTTAGGGTAAGGGTTAGGGCAAGGTTTAGGGTTATGGTTTGGGGTTACGGTTAGGGTATAGTTTAGGGTTAGGGTAAGGTTTAGAGTTAGGGTTAGGGTAAGGTTTAGTGTTTGGGTTAGGGGTTAGGGTACTGTTTAGGGTTAGGTTTAGGGTTTGGATAAGGGGTTAGGTTTAGGCATATGGTACGGGGTGATAGTATGATATCTGGGTCCAGAAGCTCCGAGCGTTATGGAAATGCCGCAAAGGTGGCTGTGAATAAGGGAAGAGAGGCGGTGGTGTGAGAGTGCTGAGAGCGAAGGAAGGATAGAAAGGAGGGGATGCTTAGGTTTAGGGTTTGAGTTAGTGGTTATGGTTAGGATAAGGTTTAGGGTTTATGGTTAGGGTAAGGGGTTACAGTTAGGGTACTGTTTAGGGTTAGGTTTAGGGTATGGTTCAGGGTTAGGGTTTCACCATTAAAGAACTCTTACATTCCTTCTATATTATCTGTCTCTGGCCTGGCTTACATTAGTTAAGTCTCATCTGCGCAAACAGTGCTCCTGAAGGAGTGATGCAGCATCTCCGTAACGATTGGAACTTCCGGACCCAGCTATCATACTATCACTCTGTACCGTAAGCCTAAGCCTAACCCCAGGCCCGTAGCCAGCATTTTGATTGGGGGGTGGGGGTGGAGTCTGAGTGAGAGAGGATCTACCCTAGCAAACCTTTTGCATCGTTACCCCAATACCCCCATGCATATGGGATATATTGAGCATGGTGATCAGATCATGATATGAATAAACACAGCAGTTTAAATAACGCATCAGTAAGGCCTCCTCGTGGACCACCCTGAGAATTTGGGGGCGGGGGCTGGAGCCCCTCAAGCCCCCCCCCCTGCTACATGCCTGCCTAACCCCTTACCCTAACCCAAACCCTACCTTAACCCTAACCCCTGGAGCCCCCGGTGGTGCAGTGGGTTAAACCCCTGTGCCGGCAGGACTGAAGACCGACAGGTCGCAGGTTCGAATCTGGGGAGAGGCAGATGAGCTCCCTCTATCAGCTCCAGCTCCTCATGCGGGGACATGAGAGAAGCCTCCCACAAGGATGATAAAAACATCAAATCATCTGGGCGTCCCCTGGGCAACGTCCTTGCAGACGGCCAATTCTCTCACACCAGAATCATAGAATTGGAAGAGACCTCATGGACCATCCAGTCCAACCCCATTCTGCCAAGAAGCAGGAATATTGCATTCAAATCACCCCTGACAGATGGCCATCCAGCCCCTGTTTAAAAGCTTCCAAAAGTTTCTCAAGTCGCTCCTGACACACACAAACCCTAACCCAAACCCTAAACCTTGCCCTAACTAACCCTGACCCTAAGCGTCCCCTCCTTTCTATCCTTCCTTTGCTCTCCCTTCTCTTCCCTTATTCACAGCCGCCTTTGCGGCATCTCCGTAACGCTCGGCGCTTCCGGACCCAGCTATCATACTATAACCCCCCCCCCCCCGGATTTGGGCCATATTGACTTCGCGTGGTCCAGTCAACCGCAGGAAGAGTAAACAAACAAACAAACAAACAAACAAACAAGGAAGGAAGGAAGCAAGGCTGGCGCGTGGCTGGGAGGAGGAGGAGGCTCCTGCATGCAGGGAAGCCTGAGAGAGGCGCTCCGCCGCCTGGTCTCTGAAGCGGAGAGGAAAGAAGACGCGAGAGAGGGAAACGCTGAGAGAAGCAGCCGTGTCTCCCCCCTCCATCCCTCCTTCGCTCGCTGCTTCGCTTCTCCCCCCCGAGAGGCAGAGAGAGGGAGTCCCGCTCCTTGCTCCTTGCCCTGCTGGTGACCAGAGCCGCGTCCAGCCTGAAAGCCTAAGCCCAGGTGGTGGCGGCGGCGGCGGCGCGACAGTAATCCGCCTGCCCTTCCGCCTCTCTCTCTCTCTCCCTCCCTCCCTCCCTTCTTTCCTTCCTTCCTTCCTTCCGCCATCCAAGGAAGAGGAGAAGGAGACGCCGGAAAGGGCGGCCGAAGCGGGAGGCGAAGGGATTCCGAGCAAGGCTCCTCCGCCGCCGCTCTCTCCTTTCCTCCCTTCCAAGGGGCGCCTCTCTCCCCTCTCTCCTTTCTCTCTCTCTCTCCTTTCTGAGTCTCTCCCTCTCTCTCTCTCTCTCTCCTCTCCGGCGTGGCCCGGGGCTTGGCGGGGCGCTTTCCAGATATGGTCAAGGCGTCGGCGGGGGACGAGGAGGAGGAAGGAGGGCTGCTGCTGCTGGCGGCGCCGAGAGCAGCCAGAGAAGCGGCAACAGCAGCAGCAGCAGCAGCAGCGGATACAGCGGTCTCCCCTTGAGTCCTTGGCGCGGAAAGAGGAGGAAGAGGAGGAGAAAGAGAGGGAGAGGAGCCGAGGAGGACTAGGAGGAGCGGCGTTGCTTGCCGCCCAGCCAGGCAGGGCGCGCCCGTCTCCAGGTAGGTCCATCCGAGTCAAGGAGGGGCTTCGGGCTCGGCAGGAGATGGGGGAGCCGGGAGGGCAGAACCGGGGTCCTTTGCCCCTCCTCTTCCAGCCTCGGGCGGCGCTCCTCGAGGCGTCCATTGGGCAGCAGGTCCCAAGGAGCGCGCGCGGATAGCAGGGGAAAGGAAGGAAAGAAGGACTGGAGGCGAGCGAGCTCCTCACTTGGCTCTGTGCTGGGCGAGACGGAGAAGCCATCCCTGCCTCTTGCTCAGAGCCACAGACACACACACACACACACACACAGAGAGAGGTGAGGAGGAGGACCCACCCATTCATTGCAGACGAGCGGATGGGGAGCCAAGAAAGGAGAAGAGAGGCGCACGGGGGCGTCAAAGAGGACCAGGGGTGGGCATAGAATCGTACAATCCTAGAGTTGGAAGAGACCTCGTGGGCCATCCAGCCCAACCCCATTCTGCCAAGAAGCAGAGGAATCACATTCAAAGCACCCCGACAGATGGCCATCCAGCCTCTGTTTAAAAACCTCCACCACACAGAATCATAGACTTGGAAGAGACCTCGTTGGCCATGCAGCCCAACTCCATTCTGCCAAGAAGCAGGGAAATCACATTCAAAGCACCCCTGACAGATGGCCATCCAGCCTCTGTTTAAAAGCCGCCGCCACCACATAGAATCCTAGAGTGGGAAGAGATCTTGTCAGCCATCCACCCCAACCACATTCTGCCAAGAAGCAGGAAAATCACATTCAAAGCACCCCTGACAGATGGCCATCCAGCCTCTGTTTAAAAACCTCCACCACATAGAATCATAGGCTTGGAAGAGACCTCGTGGGCCATCCAGCCCAACCACATTCTGCCAGAAGCAGGGAAATCACCTTCAAAGCACCCCCGACAGATGTCCACCCAGCCTTTGCTTAAAAGCCTCCAAAGAAGGAGGTTCTGGGGCAGAGAGTTCCATTGCTGAACCCTCTCACAGTTAGGAAGTTCTTCCTCGTGTTCAGGTGGAATCTCCATTCTTTCCTGTAGTTTGAAGCCATGTAGTTTCCTGTAGTTTGAAGCCATTTTACTACAACCTAGACTCCTGGGCAGTAGAAAACAAGCTTGCTCCCTTCCCCTCACATCTTTATCCATGACCCTCATCATGTCTCCTCTCAGCCTTCTCTTCTGCTGGCTGAACATGCTCAGCTCTTTAAGCCACTCCTCATAGAGCTTGTTCTCCAGACCTTTGATCAATTGAGTCGCCCTCCTCTGGACACATTCCAGCTTAGAGTCAACATCTCCCTTCAATTGCAGTGTCCAGAATGGGGGCACAGTATGATTCCAGGTGTGGTCTGACCAAGGCAGAATAGAGGGGCTGCATGACTTCCCTAGATCCAGACACCAAGCCAAAATCCCATTGACTTTTTAGCCATCGCATGAGCATAGGCTCAGAGGGATCACCCCCTTTGGCTGATGAGGAGGAAGGATGCTGGGTGCCTGGTCCAGCTGAGGCAGAGGCTCTTCCACTTCCCTCCCTCCTTCCCTCCTGTCTCAGTGCCCTTGGCCTTTCTCTGCAAACACGCCCACCGCCCTTCCCTCCTCCTCCTCCTCCTCCTCCCTCCCCTCCTCCCTCCCGGTGGCTACCTACCTGCAAGGCGCTGGCCAAAGAGGCAACTTCCCTGCAACTTCTGCTTTGCTGCTGGTGCGGGTTTTCTCCCTTCCTGCCACCCAAGGACCTGTTGCCACCGAGGAGGTAAAAAGCCCCCCCAGTGGGAGGTTCGTATTGGCTTAGGCTCCCTTTAAAGGAAGAGAATGCCTTTGACAGTGCTGCAGCCGGGCTGATGGATGGATGCATAGATGAATGGCAGGGATTTTGTATTTCCCTCTTCCTTGGAGCGGAGGGAGAAAAGAAGGGAGGGACAGACTGTGTTGGCAAGGAGAATTCCTCATGATAATGGCCATTTTCTCCATCTCTGGGGGAGTAATAGGAGGTGGAAACTCCTTCCCGCCCCTTTGCATCCTCTGCCATAAGTGTGTGGTCTTGCCCGGCATGGAAGGTCTGCAATATTATGCAGCTAAGATCAGCCATTCATTTGTTTTAGTACCTTACTAACAAGAGCTCCGATGCCAATCCCAGCCTTCTTCCTGATGGGGCTTGGATGGCTGCAGAGTGGGGAGGAAGGGGGGAAAAAAGCAGAGGATCTGCAAAAGGGAGGTTTTCTTGGACACGTGTCTGGGTGTTGCGTGTGCAGGCTTACTCCAGCAGCACTTGCACACACGAGGCGGAGAGGAAAGGCGCGCTCCGGCTCCGGGATGCGGAGGGAGAAGTCTTGTGAGTCTGGGGTGGGGGTGTCTTTGGTCTTTTCCTATTCAGGGAGGGGGGCCAGGTTCATTGCGCGTTAAAGGGGTCTGTCTGCGGTAGAAAATGGTAATGGAAATGACAGCCCCCTCCTCCCTTTTCCAAGCATGGCAGCAGAACACACCCACCTCAAGGAATCTCCCTGCTTCTGCCTCTGCCCTGCCTCCCTTCATTCCTGCATGCCAAGGGTGGCTCTCCCCATGGCTTTTACCTGGAAGTAGCTCCCACTGCACTCTGAAGGCTTTGGCACTGGGCAGAAAGGCATCAACTTGTACTGATCGGGTAGTAATGGCTGAACTGAAGGACTGCATTGTGGAACTGTTGCATGGAGGGAGGGGGCTGCCCTTCTTTCTGCTCAGGAAGGGCTGGGGGATGCGAGGCGTGTGATGTGCGCTTGCCTAGAAAGGGGAGAAGGGAGAAGCCTTTCCCCTCTGCACCCTTTTTTCCATCCATTCTTCATTTACACTTTCCCCATCATCATGCAACAAAGCGTTTCATCAGTCTTCAACAAATACAGCGCTGCATTCAAATGCACACCCACAACAGCACAAAGCAAAGCAATGTCTGTGTGTGAGTGTGTGCCTTCGAGTTGCCTGTTGATTTATGGCGATCCCACACATATTATAATATTTTCTTAGGCAAGGAATACTCGGAGGTGTTTTTGCTATTGCCTTCCTCCATCATGTTGGAGCGAAATAGTCACAACCATCACAACCGTCGATGCTGTGCTGAAGTCGCCTGTTGATTTATGACAATCCTGTGAATTTTATAGGATTTTCTGAGAGGTGCTTTTACCATTTCCTTCCTCAATTATGTTTGAGCCAAACTCTCACATCCATGAGTTCTTGTGAGTTTTCTGAACTGTATGGCCATGTTCCAGAAGCATTCTCTCCTGACGTTTCACCTATGGCAGCCATCCTCAGAGGTTGTGAAGTCTGTTGGAAACGAGGAAAATGGGGTTTATAAACAGACCTCGCAACCTCTGAGGATGCCTGCAACAGATGCAGGTGAAATGTCAGGAGAGAATGCTTCTGGAACATGGCCATACAGCTCAGAAAACTCACAACAACCCAGTGATTCTGGCCATGAAAGCCTTCGACAATACATACTCACATCCATAACCATGAGCCTTCAATGCTGCACCAGCCATGTATAAATATGTGAAGGGAAGTCATAGGGAGAATGCTTGTTTTCTGCTGCCCTGGAGACTGGGATGTAGAGCAATGGCTTCAAACTACAGGAAAGGAGATTCCACCTGAACATGAGGAAGAACTTCTTAACTGGGAGAGCTGTTCAGCAGTGGAACTCTCTGTGTGCCCCAGAGTGTGGTAGAGGGAGGCTCCTTCTTTGGAGGCTTTTAAATAGAGGCTGSATGACCATCTGTTGGGGATGCTTTGAATGCGATTTTCCTGCTTCTTGGCAGGAGGTTGGACTGGATGGCCCACGAGGTCTCTTCCAACTCTATGATTCTATGCTGATGTTCATAAGAGACTGTGGACTATGGAAGCACTGATTTGTGTGTGTGTGTGTGTGTGTCAGGAACGACTTGAGAAACTGCAAGTTGCTTCTGGTGTGAGAGAATTGGCCATGTGCAAGAACATTGCCCAGGGGACACCCAGATGTTTGATGTTTAYCMTTCTTGTGGGAGGCTTCTCTCATGTGGTAATTCTTAGTAGATTTTAATTGCATTGTTTTAATGTTTTTAAACTATTTATAATTATTGGCTGTTTTTATAATGTATATATTGAAGCATGGAATTGCTGCTGATTGGAAGCTGCCCTGAGTCTCCCCCCCCCCCTCCCAGGGGATTGAGAAGGGTGGGGTATAAATATTTTAAATAAATAAAAAAATGTCCYTGCATGGGGAGCTGGAGCTGACAGAGGGAGCTCAACCTGCTCTACCCTGATTCGAACCTGCCACTCAGCAATCCTGCCGGCACAGATGAGGTGTGACTATTTCTAATGCGATACCTCAAAAGCCTCAAGTGACAGGGTAAAGGAACACTCGATCAGAATCAATTTGAAGCGCTGTTTGGACCACCTGAAGAGAAATAGGTGTGTCAGCGTTGTGCATGGGTGTGGTAGGGGACACTAATGCATAGCAAAACTGCAGACTTTGAGCCTGGTGAAGTGCTCCTCTGAAACAACCCTAGACTGTATTGTAGACCAATGTTCTGCTGAGCTGGCAGTGGAGGGAGGAAAAGAAATGCAGTCAAGACACCACACAAATAATTCAGCATGCTGAGGGCAGTGTAGAAAGCTTAAAAGGCAAGGAAATGCCCTTTCAGGAGCATAGTGCAGGAGCAAGTCGAGGGCTAATGAAGACATGCTCTTCACTATGGCTCGCCCCAGTTTCCCCCAATGGATACTCCATCCGACCAGCAAAAGCAAACTGCTGCCTCTGTAGCATTTGTTAATTTTGCTTGGTTTAGCACAGGCATGGGCAAACTTGGGGCCTGCAGGTGTTTTGGACTTCAACTCCCACCATTCCTAACAGCCTCAGGCCCCTTCCTTTTCCCCCTCAGCCGCTTAAGCGGCTGAGGGGGAAAAGGAAAGGGCCTGAGGCTGTTTGGAATGGTGGGAGTTGAAGTCCAAAACACCTGCAGGCCCCAAGTTTGCCCATAGCTGGTTTAGCATGTTTGCTGCTTGACAAAAATTGATTTTTTCTTTTCTTGTGTAGCAAACTCACTTGCTTCTCTTGCCACCACACCTAATCTATTTCCTTTCCTTAGATATTTACTTGCATCTCTTCCTCAGGAAAAGTAAACAATTAGACACCTACAGTCCTGGTTGAGTTTTTATTCTCTTTGTGCGCCATTTGAGATTTCACCTTTTAGCAACTTAATTATTGGCTTCTTGTGAGTTTTCCGAGCTGTGTGGCTATGTTCCAGAAGCATTCTCTCCAGACATTTCGCCTGCATCCTCAGAGGTTGTGAGGTCTGTTGGAAATTAGGAAAATGGGGCTTTATATATCTGTGGAATGTTCAGGTTGGGAGAAAGAACTCTTGTCTGCTTGAGGGCCAGCTAATCACCTCCCAACAAAGGATTCCCCAGACAATAAGAAGCCAGACCTTGAAACTGCTAGGCCATTAAATGTTGATCAAGGTGGCCAATTGCTACATTCACACCTACCTCAAACGGATTTCTTTCTCCCACCCTGGACATTCAACAGATATATAAACCTCATTTTCCTAGTTTCCAACAGAATTATTGTACACTAGCTATACCTGCCACACATTGCTGTGGCCAACCTTCCCTCCCTCTTTTTCTTTTTTCTTTCGCTCCTTCCTTCTTTCCCTCCCTCCCCCTTTCCTTCCTTCTCTTCTCTTCTTCTTCCCTTCCACCCCCCACCTTTTTTCCCTTCCTTTCTTCCTTCTCTACCGATTTTTAGACTGCAATTCCCATCAGTCCGGTTGATTGATCTATCTACGTACCTATCTATCTCTGTCTAATCTATCTATCTGGAGGATAGCTGGGAGTTGCAGTCCAGGAATAGGAAATTGGAAATATGCAGGGAATGGGATGCTCTCAAAGTAATCCAAGGAGAAGAAAGTTTGCAGCTTGGAAGCAGTGCATTTGGATCATTCTCCTCTGATAAAGGGCCTGGTCTAGGGGATGTTGGGAGCTGTAGTCAGCAAGAGAGAGTGGATATGGTATTGTGTGTTTTCTTGGCCAGGAGGGAGGGAGTCGTTTTTGCGCATGCACTGTAGTGCCTTTCTGCTTTTTGGATTTTTAAGTCCCTTTCACTGTGTTTTTGAGCGTTTTTATGAGTGATGGTCATTTGTTGGCCTGAGAGGTATATTGTGTCCAAATTTGGTGTCAATTCATCCAGTGGTTTTTGAGTTATGTTAATCCCACAAACGAACATTACATTTTTATTTATATAGATTAGCTTCATCTCAGCATAGGCAAGGCCACATCTTGCCAATAACTTTCGTTTGATATCTGAATAGAAGCCTAGTTCAACTTTATTGTGGGTATGCTAAGCTTCCATCAGAGATTATTGTCATGAGGGGTATATACGCAAACTGGCAAAATACTAAATAGGAGAGAAGCACCTCGCTATAAACAGGAAAAACAGCGAAGAATGGAAACGTAATAAAACACAAGGGTATAGCTGTGGATGCATATAATTTTGTGGCTCTCTCCGTCCCAGTTTTATAGACCGTCTGTTCTGATTCATTCAGGTGTATATGACCAATTTCTCTCCCTCTCATCATCTTTCCTTTTAATAAGCTAGGTAGCTCAGTGACATTCTTTCTCTCACTTTCCATCTGCCCAGTCCTTCTGCGGTTCATGCCAATTTAATAGACTCTCAGTGTGTTCTCCAAAATGGGACTCTGTAATAATAAGAAATCTA